TATTGATGACTTTTTCCTCTATCTTTGTATAGAATAATACTTGCATAAAATAATAATAAAAATTCCGTGTTTAGCTTTTTTACTTGATCCATGGATTTAACTTAAGATATTGAAACGTATATTTCGCTAAAATGCTATATCTTAAAAATTAGAGCTCCTAGGCAAAAACTAATGCCATATTTGAATTCAGGACATCAAATTCATATGAAATCAGCTCAAAATACCTGGGAACCAAAATCACTGTTGACCTGTGTTATCAATAGTAGTAGGCTGCGATTCTAACGACTTTCGTCGTTGAAGAAGGAAACTCTTTGCAGTTATATATAACAGACGAAAGTGATAAATAATACATAAAATTTGTTCGTTAAAAAAAAAAATTAAATTCGAAGAGATATTCGATTCGATCAGTGATTCGATTGGGAGGAATTAGAGAAAATCTTCTATAATATAGAAAGCCTTATAAGTTTCAAACCTTAGTTCTTGAAGCTTTTAAATGTAAGAGAGTTCAGAAAATTTAACTAAACTGTATAGAATTTAAATTAATTTTCCTCTGTGAATTATTGGTTGGGCAACAAGGGAGACGTGGTCAGAAGAGGAAAAAATAGTTCCTAAAATGATCTAATAATAAAACTATAAGGGTATATTAGAATACTTACGAAGCAAACTCCTGATAAATGACCTCCAGCACAAATGTGATTATCATTGACAAGAATTCGAAATACCTGAAAGGCTGTTTGACAATAAGTATTTGTGCTAACCAACATAGGAGTGGTTAACAATATAAAACTTGATGGAAGACCTGTCAAAAAAAAAATTATTTTTTAAATTTACAACTTGCAATCTTTTAAAATACTATACATTAACTTAATTTTGACTGTATTTGACTGTATGTAACATTGTATTATATTTATATTATATATTTTATTTATTAATTTATTATTATTATTTACTTTTTCATACATATACTTTTGAACCTCGTTTTTACTTTCCTGGCAGTTATATATAACAGAATTAAAGTTATATAATTCTGTTATATATAAGATTTTTATATTTTTGGACTCAGGATTTTCAAACGTCAAGAAATGTAAAATAATTTCGGGGGTTTTCTGTGTGGGGGGCACGATTTTGTTTACCCATTTTAAAGCTTAACTCTTGTGCCTTTCGTCAAAAATTTCTGAAATTGTGCTGTATTAAGTTTGTGTATTAGGGGATTGATGCTGGTAAATTTTGGTAGTTAAAGGTCGGAAGGATGAGGGAATAGAAGGGGTCATGTTTTGTATCTCGAATGGAGTCGGACTTAATGAAGATTTTACCCATTATTAACATTTACAATTATATATAAATATATAACTCATTTCTACTCTCAAAGTTAAGGTTTTTGCCATTTTATAATAATTAATAATATATAAAGTTTTTAAGTAAATCTCATAATAGGTGGTGCTGCACACGATTTAAAATTTGTTTGCCGGGAAAGTTATGCAACTCGTTGCTGGGTTTTTTTCAATATATGCTTCAACTGTTAAAAGTGAAAACAAATTCAAATCTTACACATCATATTTTGATGTAAAGAGGAAACAGCTTATTCAGTCAAAATATGGTTGCTACAATGATAAATATTTGAACCGAATAAGCTGTTTCTACTAGAATATGCAGTTTTTAAAATCATATAACTGTAAAAATGATATTTTAAGGCATTTAAGGAGCATCATATAGAAGAAGTTGAAGAATGATAGATTTTGAACCAGTAAATGGATCTCTCGACCGATATATTTCCAGATAATTGGTAATTATATTGTCATTTCATTGTGGAAAATGTGATAAAACTCCAATGTATTGAAAACAATATTAGATTTGTGTTTGGAAAGTTGAAGCACTAAACTGCAACGTGTATTCACAGAAAATTAGGTTAAACGAGATAATCAATAATCGTTTTACTGTATACAGAGAATGAATTTGCATAAAATATATAAATATTTATAATTGTTTTGAATGTTTCTTTGAAATTGTGTAAGGTTCATTGTTAGAAATAAATTTCATACTCACCATTCACAGAAAATTTTGTTATCAAAAAGAATAAAAATCTTAAATACATCGAATTAAATTTTTATCGATAAATGATTAATTACTGATAAATGTAAATACTGTATAGTTATGTATTTCCGAGACCGTGTCTTTCTTTTTTTCTTTGTTTCTTCACTACTAGGTGCATAAATAGACACAAGGCATTTTACATCATCTTTATTGATCTTCTATTGGCCGATACGCGTTTCGGGCAAGCTCCTCATCCGTCGGCATTACATCCGGAATCTTCTTTAAATTTCGTTGCTACATATATATTTTTTTATGTTTAAAATTATGTATTTACAGTTAAAATCGTTAAAATATCATTACTGTTTAAAATAGAAGATCAATAAAGATGATGTAAAATGCCTTGTGTCTATTTATGCACCTAGTAGTGAAGAAACAAACAAAGTAAATACTGTAATTTATTACCTGTATGTACTCTTCCCCAACCCATGGCTCGAGCCCATTGTCTTTCATAAGAACGATCAGGTGACGAGAGACAAACGGGTTTGACACTATCACTAATAGTTAACGTTTCAGTTAGTTTAAGAAGAGCAATGTCGTGACTATTTTGAACACCGTAGCGAGGATGCGATATTACTTCCGAAAAACGAACTATTTTATCTGGTCCATCTCTGAGTATGTTTCCAACAACAGCCGAAAAAACGCTTGGATCACGAGCTTTTCTTCCTCTATAAGTAATGAAAATTTTATATTTCATACTAAAATACGTATTTTTAATAGAAAATTTACTTACGAAACAACGCAATGGGCAGCCGTAGCTATATAATTAGGAGAAATTATAAATGAACTGCAAGAAAATCTTTTATCGACAAGGAGAGAAGCCTATTGAAAAAGAAATACATAAAAAGAATTAAGAAATAACGAAGCATTTGACAAATAACTGTTAATAAATCTTTACGCTCACCATCCAAGGAAATTCGTTTGGAAAGGCTGGACGACCAAATACGATAAAACTGTCCACGGCTTAGAGAATAAAAATTATTAGTGGAAAACAAACTTTACATATATAAAACATTTTCTAATTTTTTAATGAAATTAAGTAAACATTTACTAAACTTTTCTGATTACGTTTCTTTAATTCTAAATTACAATATATCATTAAAAAATAATAGATCAATTTTTTTATTATAATAATATCTAATAAGTACACAATCAGAAATGAATAACTAACTTATTATTATAACCTAATATTATTTTGTAAATTATGTTTCATAATTATCAATATGTTTATCCTACGATTCTAATATTTATTAATAAAATACTCAATAAAAAATAATGTAATTAAAATTGGGCATTTATTATTTTATTCTTGTTAATTATTTTAAATGCAAGTTAAAAATCAGTATAGTTTAATGCTGTGTGCATTATTTATATATTTACAAAAGTTAATTAGTAAACTTATTACCGTCCTAATAATTATCCGTAGGGTTTATAAATCATTGTAATTATACAAATTTAGATGATACTCGTATGAAAAGATGTTTACAAAAATCTCAATGCACGCGAAACAATATTTATCGTTCCAAAATAAAAAAAAAATGATGAGGTAAATGACCCATCGTATATAAATTAATTTATTTTTAATATTATTCATATTAATAAGTATTATCGATTTTTATCTTACCTGGTGGCCCAACAGTTTCATTTTTCGCCTATAAAAGAAAATCCATTTATTATTTTCTAGTAAAAAAAAAACACTTCATAAATTAAAGAAATTTTTTGATTAATGAGACAAAAACACGATGTAAAATCAATAAAATTCAAAACTATTTAAAAATTAATAATGAAAGCGATACTTACTTCAGTATCTGCATTGGCAAAAGAATGAATAATGCAAAGCAGTATAAATATTTTGAGAGGAGAGTTATCTACCATGTTTAATACTGTCTCTGAAAACATTGGATTCAAAACCGGTATAAAAGGAAAGATTTTACTTCCGCATTGAAATAAATTTTACCAGTTGGTGCCTCAGTTGGTATGAACTTCCAAGAAATGCCATAATAACTTTTTTTTTTTCATTTTTTTCTATTGACAGTTTGAATTCGTTTGTCAATATAAACTTTGAAATGCGCAATTGTCAAATGATTTATGTTCAGTTTTATGTAAGGGTCGATCACCTATTTACGATATTTCGACGAAATTATTTTTATGTTGCTGATGGCAAAATAAAAATACAAAGCGCTTAAGAAAATATATGTAATTTTAAATATAGCATTAATTAAAAAGAAATCAATAATTTCAGCAATGAATATAATTATAGGGCCTATATATATATATATACATTTATGTTAATTAATTAAAAAAACTTGATTTTATTTTAGAAGCATTATAATTAATTATCAAACTTTTACGCTTTATTTTTGGAAGTTCACATTTTGATAATGGTGAAAGACTGTTTTAATTTGTAGTGTGTATGCAGATAACATTTCATTTTGAGCATGCGCACGTGTCAAACGAGTGACCTTTAAAAAAAAATTCGAAAAACGATTATAATCAGATTTTAAGACGTTTTATTTCATAATTATTAAATACGATGCTATTTTCCAATAAGATAAACTTAAAATATTCTTTATATTTATAATTCTTAAAACATAAAATTGTTTATACATAATTATAATTATTTTTACCAACGAAACGAACTTAATAAACATAGTTATTTTACGGTTATATAAAATACGTAGTAAATTTCCGAAAACTCGAAGAGGAAGCGATAAAATTTAATAATATCGATCCTCTACTAATACGCATCAATGACGTCACGGGTGTCTAGTACTACAAGCGACAGATAGAAATCTGTGCTATTGGTAAAAACCTTCAATTCTTCGAAAATATTTTACGGTTTCGGTAATAAATGTATTATAATAACAAATTATAGTACTTTGACCTAAAATATAAATTTTATGATTTTCTAGAGGGAATCGTCGTTTCCTTGGAAACGGTTAGCCGGGCGATTATCACGCAGTCTGTCGTCTGCTCCACTGCTGGTTGCCTCATCGTTACACTCCTCTTTCATTTACCACTCGGTAATTATTTAATTATATAATTATTACAATTTTATATTTATTTATGCTTAAAATATAAAATGTATTTATGTATTTTTCTAGATAATATAATATTGAAATCTTTATTTGTTGGAATTTTATTAATTCTTTTAATGTTACCATTGCTTTGATTTTTTATATAAGATTTCAATGTTATAATATTAAAAAAATATTCTTTATTTCAGATTTATTTATGAAAGTTAAACAAATTCAGATATGCTACAGAGTAAGTTATTGCTGAAATATCTTTTTATTACCGTCATAAATCATTTTAAAAAATACTGAAATATAACTTAAATAAATATCAAATCTTAAGAGAATTTTTAAATATTTATTATATATATATATGAATAATTAATAATAA